GAAATTTCGAAATTGCAATCGGAAGTGCTCGAAACAGCGACGGGAAAAGGGGAAAATCGAATTATTTCATCGGAAATACCAATTTTTGGCCATTTCAAGGGAAACGGGCGACCATCCCATTTTGCGGTTTTCTTTTTTCGGTTCAGTACACCTTGTAAAAACAAAGTTTTATAAATATTCAAGCGTTATTCAGGTCGAAAAATATAAATTTTTGGGGGCACACTATGAAAAATCAGTATCTGAAAGTCGGTGAGAACGAAAACACACCAACTCGGAAATTTTTAAACGTTTAATTCTCTGTCATCAAACATGGTGTATCGATTTCAACTTGGTGCTTTACAAATTCTCTAAGTACTTGTCCTTCGGCACCATAAAGGTTTTTCTAAACCAACTTCTTCGCCCGCTGCACAGTTTTAGGTGTTTCCTGAACAATTTTTTTTTTTCCGAGTTGGTGCGTTTTCGAACTCACGGATTCAATCAGATCTAAAGTTATGGCCAGTGGTGCGTGACTTTTGAATAACCCTGTATGAGACCCGAGCTAGTCAGATCAGGAGGCTTTAATATCACAGTGCACTCATGAACCTTTTATTTACGGAACCCCTACCTCGGCAACCCTGTCAAAAGCCGTGAAGGAAGTTATTTGCACTTTTCACACCTAAAGCGTTTCGGAGCATTGTCAGTCTAAGGCGCGGCGTGGCGAAAAATTCAACTCCATCGCGATAATTTCTGCATCTCGCTCCCTGCGCCCGCTTTGTTTTCATCCTCCGCCACCTTCTCTCTTAGCTTCCATCCTTACGTAGCCCGAGCGTTCTGCTTGCTTTCACTTAATTTTAAAATGAATCCGATCTCGCGGTCCCTTTATTCGTATCCCGTCTCCATTCTCGAGGCATCCTCAGATGGGGAAATAAAAACTCCCCAGCTCGTCCTCGCTCAACCACCGAAACTGCAAAAGCGCGTATCTCCCTTTGCGACGGCTCCCGGCTTCTTAACATAATCTATTTTTATAAACGGAAAGATACCCAACGTTATTTCTTTAAAAATTCCACAATTATACCTCTCATAGTGAAGAATAAATCGTGAGAATTTCAAGCACTATCGCTGGCTCATCATTTTTGGATAAGATAAAATCGCAGCGGAGATTTTGAAACAATGTAAGTGCGATACGCGGTTTCGCAGTTTCAGTGTCGTATTGAGAGCCACGGTGGAGTTTATTTTAGTCGCGTATTAATTTGGCTTTGACTTGATATTAAACTCACTCCAGAAATGATTCCCTAATTTATTTGCACTGCAAATCTCGTACGTCCTCGATTTTTGAGCCGTGAAATATCAGGAGATGAGCAGTGATTTTAAAGTCTGTATGTCACCGGCAATTTCAGCAGCCTTGGCATGTTGTCAAATCTGCAGGGAATGGGGCAAGCGAAGCGTGTAATTCAAATGTTGCTAAATTTTAGCGGACAAATGCCCATTTTTTTAAAGGTATGAACAGTATTTAGGTATTTTTAGATAAATTAAACTAAATTATGAGTCAAACTCTGTGAAAAATGCAAAGGAACACATGCATAAATTGTTATAAAAATTCAGAAAGACGTTGTACATTGCCAAATTTCCTATGACCAAAATCAATCTTTTTCCAAAACCCTGGGGCGTTTTTCTCTTTTTTTCTCAGAAAATTGTATTCGCAATACCATCTAGTGTATCTAAACATTTTAAGGAGAAATAATCTTAAAATTTCCTAATAATAAATTTGATATCAAGGGTAGTTCTCCAAACTAAAAATGCTTATTTGGCTCCTGAACATGGCAGTACAATTTTGTCTTGCTAAGTGAAAACCCCGTATGAACATTCGAAGGTTGTCGTATTGTTGTTAACAACATTTTTATTTTCTAGGAAAGTGATGGATATTCCCTCCAATTTTCTCTGACACATTAGATACAATTTTGAAATTATAAATCTGCAGAAGAAAATTAAAACAATTGTATCAAGACTACTTCCAACAGTCAATAGGGATACAAACCCCCTAATCTGCGATGATCCCAATGTCACAACCAAAATATTGAATTTTTTTGGTTCCATTAAATTAAGAATCTAAATTTCTGTGTGTGCACCCACCCCTCATACTTTTTGCAAAGACATAATACCCCGAGGTGCTGAATGTCTATAAAAAATTAACTAACCAACTAATTATCAAGAATACTCGATTTTTACCGACACAAATTTGGCAACGTTCGAACTTCTATATGGCATTCATCCTGCTCAGCACAGAAGCCCAGTTTGTTGCTACAATGATGTAAAGGTATATCAGCTTTTTGAGTTGAACCCTACCGTCCATATAAACCCATGTATTCCAGAGATCGAGTAGAAATAGGTTTACGCTCTTTACGTCATAAATGCGGCCCTATACGGCCGCGGGATCTCCGGAAGGAAGGGATATGTGTCGGAATTGAGCAACATTTATTTTGTGCGTTTTCATTAAACGATTGAACATCTGCCAATGACGTTCTCGCCAGAGATTGTTGCCTTTAATTGCTGGTATTCTCCGGTGATTTCATCCCTTTCACCCTCCTGTTTAAATGCCTCCCTTTTCGTCTCTGTCGCCGGGTTTCCGCCTCAACACCCTCCGAGCGAGTTATCGTCTCTCCTCTGTCAAGGTAGCCCACAAAGCCACTGAACATTCGAGGCCATGTGAGATACCGTCGTTTCCTGCACGTAGAACGTAACTCCATTCCAAGGTTGCAAAATTGACCAAAATAATTCAATTTTTTACAAAAGTGTGACTGTGCAATTTTCTCCAGAAATTTTTCTGATTTTTGCATGAGATCAGATGGAAATTCAGTGAAATTTTCAGTATGAAACGCCCAAGCAGGGTGTCTACGAGTCCGGAATTTACGGAAAGTCCGGAAATAGTACTGATTTTTTGAGAGCGGTCCGGAAGTACTGGAAAAGTGCTGAAATTCTGTAAGATGGTCCGGAATTTTTCCATTTTTTGTAATTTTTGTCGCATTCTGAGCGAGAAATTCAAATTAGTGAAATCTATCGAATTTCGTCGATTGGAGGTACCGAAAAAGTACCGAATTTTTCTATTGAGGAGGTACTGAATTTCTAGGGAATGTACTGAAAAAGTACTGTAAAAGCACTGATTTTTGGTCAGCCTGTTATAGTAGACACCCTGCCAAGAATCTATACTTCAAATTGCGATTTGCAAGAGGAAATCTGGCAACACTGAAAGTTAGTTACGTTCTTTCGTGGGGAAACGACGATATATTGAACGGATTATTCCAGGAGGCAGGAATGCACAGATTTTATAAATCGAATGTAGGATCACGGGAAAGAGTAACGGAAAACATTGATAAAATAAGGTTGAACATTCTATGAACACTGAAAGGCAGTTTTATAACAACTGCGGTCAGACCGACCCTGATTTTTTTAAAAAAAATTTCTCTTTTCTTGCTGCTGGTTTTTTTTACCAATATCTGTTTGAAACGTCCCACTTTTTATCATTTTTCAAATGTTTAGCTTTAATTTACCCATGATTTAAAGTCTCTATCTTGAGTAAAGAAACACAGAAATGCCGCATGGAACCTTTAAAGCGCCTTCGAAATGGCTTTGAATATTATTCTTGCATTTTCTTTCCCACCTTAAAAGTCTTCGAGCATCCTCAAAATTTGAGGAATTCTACGAAACCACCGGAATACATCCCTAAATTTTACGGTATCTACTTATTTCTTTTACAACCCCTGGTAAAAATTGACAGTAGAATCTGTGTTCCAAAATACCATAGACCTACAGCCGGCTGTAAGATTTCCAATAGCTTCCATAGCCGGCTACACAATAGCTTTTTATAGCCGATGGCGATTAAGCAACAACCAGACAATTAAGAGTATGCTGAACGTTACTAATTACGGATGCCAGGACTAAGTGAGTTTTTGGACTACCACTCTCTTTTTGGGCCGTAGTATCTTGATTTATTTTGCGAGGAAAGCTCCGTACTTTTGATGGATGCCTGCCATTCCTAATGTGTTGGAGCGCTTTCAATTTCGTATGATACAGTGTGTGAAATAGTTGCTTCAAGCGCCGTGGCACGCTGCGGTGCGGCGCGGCGGCGGGCGGACAGCCAGCACGAAGCGCGCATTGGCGCCTACAAACCTAACAGGGATACTTCACGCATTGCGCAATGAGCGCACTGGCGCCTGCAAACCTAACAAGGATACTTCACGCATTGCGCAATGCGTGAAGTATCCCTGTTAGGTTTGTAGGCGCCAGTGCGTCGCCGCTCCGCTTTGTGTCAGCCTGTATTATTTAATCTCGCGGATCAGCATTTTCAACTCATGATTTTGAAAAGTTTGCACACTCTGAATGGATTATTCTCACTTTAATTGATGGAAAAAAATATGTATTGAAGGAAAATATAATGTTTGTTGTGTAAATATTAAGGTGATTCCGAACGAACTTAAGGATTTACAAAGCACACGAATTTCTACACAATTTCTTATAGCCTTTTTTAGCTGATGGCCGAAAGGCAACAGCCAGGCGATAAACTGTACAGTCCGGCGATAGGAACTATAGCCCGACTGTATACTTTTTTATCGCTTCGTATAGCCCGGCTAAATGATTCGCTCCGCTTTCTACAGCCAGCTATATGATTTTCTATTGCCTTCTTTAGCCTGCTATAAGAATTCCTATGGTGTTTTGAAACGCAGCTCCTATCGCCAATTTTTACTAGGGACCGTTTGGAGGAGTGGACTATTATTTTTGCTACCTTATCGTGAGTTCCAAGGAATGTCAAATAACTTAGTTGTTCGTCTTACTTATTCTTCTTTATGTAATAATAGTTGAGAATCCGTTGTTTCCCAGAGAATAGAACGTAACTACATTTCAACGTTGCAAAATTTCCGCTTGCAAATTGTGTCTCAGAGAGGCAATGTGCATGTTCATCCCTTATGTTGCCAATAATAAATTGAATCAAAATATTATAAATATTTCTTTTCTCTTATTTGTTACAGATCTTTGGCCAATTCACTCAGATTTTTAGACTTGAGTTACAATAAACTCGATAGAATTCCAATCGACGCATTGAAACGGTTGAAGGCTTTGGATTGGTTGAACTTACAAGGGTAAGTCCATTTGACCATTAGCCTTATGTTTAAAGAAGACACGAATGGCGCTATTTTAGTATTAATCTGTCAGCAATTAAATTACACCACAAATATTCCAAAAAATCCAGTGGCGTGGCGTGAATGATCGATTATCGATGTTTCCCCCATTTGAATCCGTGGTAAAGAATCGATTATTAAGGTGTTCGCTGCGAACACCCTGATAATCGATCCTTTCTCATAGGTTTAAATGACAGGTAAATCGATTTATCGCAAAGTACGTCACGCCACTGAAAAAATCCTAACCGCAAAATCAACCACAGGTCGCAGAGGCGGATTCAGGAAGTTTGCGGGATTGTTCTCTCTCCATTTACCTCCACACTGGGAAAAAATACATAGGATCTTGAGTCCAGACTCTTGAAAACATTGACAAGAAAAAATACTCTTGATTCAATCGGATTTTTGCTTGAATCAAAACGAAATTCGCTTAAATAAAGAGGCTTGGTTCTTGATTTAAGATAGATTCTGATTGAATCAAGATTACTTTTTCTTGTCGATGTTTTAAAGAGTCTGGACTCTAGGTGCAATGTGTTTTTTTTTTCAGTGCATCTCTCAATTTACTCAGTTTCGATACAATTTTGTGATACCACTATTCGAACGTCACGACAGTCATTTTGTATAACCTCCTAATTGAAGGCGAATATTTGTTCCGCGCAGTTATTACTCCTGTACGCTCGCTCACATTTCTTCTAATACATTGTTCTCTCTCCATTTAAACCTATAGAAATGAATCGATTCTTTGAGTGGGCAGCTGCTCCAACAAGAATCGATTATTCTACATAGATTTAAATGGAGATCAAATAATGCTGCCATCTTACTGGATCTGCCGAGCTGTGACGGTAGCACACATTAGGTCCTCAAATGAAAGGATGATTGGATCGCATTTAGAAAAAAGAAACCAGCAGCGCGATTACAGTGTTTGCTAAATTGTACGACTTCTCCTTTTATTTCAAGGATACCTAATATGCACACAGTGTTGAAATTTACACAATTATTTTAGGTTATAATTAAAAATTTTCCGGTGGGAAGCAAACACTATTTGCTATTCTAGGAATTTTTGTAGCTGATTAAGAAGAGAAGCAACATTTTCACAACATTATAATCGCGCTGGTTCATTTTTACTAAACGCGATCTAATTGTAAAGTCTATACATAAAAGACGACTCCAAATTGCCGGACGAAAGCAGTCTCAGACTGAAGACTGATACATACTTTACTGTCGGCATTTACCATTTTATTCATTTTTCAAATTTAAATTACGCCGGGATTTTAATGTGCGTAATTTGAAAATTTATGGGTGTGTGCGAGGACACTTTATTACTCTGTATCTGCGTAAGCCGAAAGCAGCGCCGCTTGCCGTCGCGTCAGAGACGCTTTAAATGAGCTTTCCAGCTAATTCAGCTTTTTACAGCTCCGATGAAATATGTAATCTTTTTTAACCCGGCCCTGGCCGGCGTCTACATACTTGGTCAAATATGAAGCTCTGAGCCAGCACAATTTCATACATGACAGAGTTCGGAATCGTCCTAAAGCGGCGCAGAGTCTCATTTGCATGAAAAGCCCGCCGCGCCGCGTCCTTTCTCTTGATAACTCTTTAAATTATTCAAGCCCCTTTACAGTGTAAATTGTACCTTTTATTCAAACAAAGGCTGATAACATTCGGCTTTATCAATCATGGCCGAACAAATATCTCATAATTCTCTCAAGTCCCGGCGTCCCCTTTTTATTATTTTTACACGTAGTACGAGAGGAAAGCTGAGACAGGTACATTTAATTTCCACGCGTTTTTCGCCCTGTCTCCGCGCGCGGGGACAGAAAAATTAAATTTTAACACGCAGGGATTATTTCTTCAGGATCACTTTCGAATTAATTTTTCAGGTTTGGCTGTATCGCGTAGAAAAGGGGTGACTGTTTACGACTCTTTTGCAAAAACTCCTAACTATGCAATAAACCAGAAATGTATGTGTTACTCCTGACATCGGGAAGGATATAATGTGTCGAAATGTTGCCTCTTTTTACATGCAAGGAATTTTTTACTTAATGTTATCCATTTGCGTTGCACTAGCTATTCAAATGGCTCTTCGGTGAAATCCCCGAAATTTTACACTGGTGATAGGACATTTCGTCAACGATTCTTTGTCCGCGCATCTGTTTTTTCCAGTAGTTTACGTTCACGCGTTTTTTCGAAAGGGGAGTTTTGGTCCACTCACCACTTGAGGCCCCAAGTTAATTGGTCCACATGTAAATACAAACGACAATTGCTCACGACGTTTTTGGATGAAAATGTTTTATGTCTGGAAGCATGAGGGTTTGCTTGTTTGTTTGTTTGTTTTTTTGTTTGTTTTTGTTTTGTTTTTTTGCTCTAACGGAGAAAAATATATAATTGAGATTTTTGGTAAAAATGAGGGAGCGTCATTTCCATGAGAGAAAATTCACTAAAACACTCTACTCCTCTTCGGTGCAACAGGACTTAATTATCTTTCAAGAAAATCCCATATTTTTATACCTGAACTGGAAAACCTTTTGATTTGCCTCAGGTAAAGGATCTCATATTTTTCCCGTGGATGATAACTTCGCTTCGGCACTGGTTTGCCGCAGCGCTTCAAGCTACTATTTCGCCACGGAGGTGTTGCACAGTATCATGTGAGATCGGAGGCACCCCAATGTATCATGATTGATGGCATCTTTGAAAAGTACGAAGTTCCCTCGCAAATTAAATCGAGTGACGACAACAAAAAGAGAGCGGTAGTCGAAAACTTACTGTCCTAGTATCTGTATTTAATAACGTTTAGTATGATTTTTAACTCCATTAGAGGAACTTGTGACCTAATCGAAGGAGAAATATCCTCAAATTTACCGCCGAGAAGATTTCCTTATGAGTTAATAAAGAAAACAATGTTTTCTTAAGGAAGAAAAGATGCTTTTATAAAAAGGAGAGTCACTTACATCAAGCAGAAACCCGCTTTTGTTTACCTAGTTTATTCTTGATTCAAAATAAAATCTTGACGGCATACTCAAGAATATTCCTTTATCTCTCTTATCTCGACTTATTTTGCAAGAAAAGTTCCGTACTCTCACAGGATGCCTGTCATTCTTATTGTTGGTATGTTGGAGTGCTTTCAATTTCGTATAATACTGTACAACACCTCTATTGTAAAATAGTGAAGCGCCGTGGCACGGGGCACGCTGCGGCGCGGCCAGCCAGCCAGCACGGAACTCGCATTGGCGCCTACAAACCTAAGGGATACCTCAAACATTGCGCAATGCGTGAAGTATCTGCTTAGGTTTGTAGGCGCCAGTGCGTGTTTCGTGCTGGCAGCACGTCGCGTCGCATCACTCCGCTTTCTGCTAGGGCCTATTATTTAAACTCGCGGAGTCAGCGTTTTTCAACTCATGATTTTTATTTGTTTGCACACTCTGCATGGATTACTTTAATATAAATTGATACAAAAAATATATATGTATGAAAGGAAAATTTAATGTGTGTTTTGTAAATATTAAGGTGTTTCCTTGTCATATTTTATGATTTTCAAAGCACATTAATTTTTTCGTTTATATGTTGTGTTTTTACTGTGCTGCAGCGTGGTGTGAGCGCAACCAAACGCTCAAAATAGGACGTATTTGACTCTGAAAGATCGATGTACAAATGGGCTAAAACCGAAGATTGCGTGCTTCTCGGTTTTTTTCCTCTTTTATTCATTTGTGCATAGTTTATTTCGACACAACTTCTGCTCATTGGCTTATTAATATCGATACCATCGCTTGGAAAAGGTTTTACAAATATTTGCCACGTTTTTAAAATGTAAATGTTTTAAAAATAAAGTAATATTTTCATTTAAAAAAAAGTATTTATAAGGTTTATTTTTCATCGAAAATTTTAAGGATGGAAATAAAACCAAATATCCACCCCTGACAATTTAAAAAGATTGATCAAAAAAGGGAAATAACATTTCATTTAAAAAATGAGTTACCTCAACAACTCTTCCGTCTCTCTCAATTTTCTCATTTCATTATTGTCAATATAATTTTACATACGGACTAAAATATGACATTTGGACCAAGTCACTGTCGCTTATTCCACGCGCGGACGTAAACTACTGGACAAAACAGGTGTGCGGACAAAAAATCGTTGACGGAATGCCCTGAAACCTTTACACTTAAGTAATTGTACTAGAACGTCATATGCGCCAACAGACGTTGCCCTATTTCCTTCAGTAAGCAACAAATTTCCAGGGAAAGTGTGAATATTTTCCATAAAATTCCTCACACAATTTTTGTCCGTAGTTTTAACCTGAAATATCTAAGAAATTAAAGGAAAACATGCATAACTTTTCTTTAAAAGAAAGAAAATAAATAAAAAGTGTTCTATCTAGGAAAAGGTGGCAAAACTTGAATGTGCATACGGCGTTTTTTCTTAGCTAGGTAGAATTGAGCTCCGAATACCAAAGGTAAAACCCTGCAGTTTTTCAATTATTCAATTTGAGCATTCTTAAACCTTGGAGTTGGGTACTGTTTGAAACAAAACCAAAATTGTGCCCATTCTTTTAGCGTAAAATGAAAAATAAAATTTTTGGCTGAAAAAGATGAAAGATGCAGGTGACTTAAAAAACATTTTTACATTACACCTTAATTTAGACGTTGATTCTGAAAAAATGCGTATCTCAGTCGCGGTGTTTCGAAATCTCCACTACCAATCTATTTTTAAAAGGAGACCAAACGAGCATCATGTCTTGAGGTTTTCACGGAATATTTTTCATAGGAAGAGAAAAATCACTGAGATTTTCAAAAAGTAACGTCCAGTAGATTTCTTTTTTAGGAAACATGAATTCTGTGACGCCGCAAACTGAGCTACGCATTTCAGCAGTTTCACCATCGATTTACATTTTTTCCGAGTTTTTCGAAGCTAGACATCAATTTCTGTTACAGGAACGAAATCACAGGTTTAGACAAAGACGACTGGTCGCACATGTCAAGGACTTTGAGGAATCTATTCGTAGGCGAAAACAACATCGACACCCTCTCAACTACCCCGGACGAATCCCTGGCCCGACTGAAGAGCCTGACGTCACTGAATCTCGATTACAACGAGTTGACGTCACTCGACGCCACAGCCCTCCCGGCCAACCTCCAAACCCTCTCCGTGGCCTACAACCAGCTCAAGAAAGCCCCGCTCCGACTGATCGAAACGATGAAGGACCTCGTCTGGGTCTCGCTGCAGGGAAACAGCATCAAAGACATCCCTCAACACACGTTCAAAACCCGGAAGAACCTCGAGAAACTGGACCTAAGCGAGAACGCCATCGAAGAGCTACCCAACAACCTATTCAACGGATCCATCACGATCCGCGACCTGAACCTAGCCTTCAACAATCTGAAGACCTTACTCCCGCAGACGTTTCGCGGTCTAAGCGTGTCTCGGCTGTACCTCCCGCGCAACCAGCTGGAAAACCTCGACGATCGCGCCTTCGTAGGTATCGGCCACACCCTAGAACACCTAGACCTGGAGCACAACTTCCTAACCTCAATCCCGAAGGCGGTGACGCACCTGAAGAAGCTCAAGTTCCTTTACATGTCGTCGAACAGGATACCCAGCGTGGACGACAGCGCTTTCGACAGCTTCGCGCCGTCGTTGAAAGCCATCTCGCTGTCGGGCAACCAACTAACGAGCATCCCCAGCGGGGCCTTGAGGCCTTGTAGGAAGCTCCTACACCTGAACCTAGGTTACAACCAGATCACAGACCTCAACGAGACCAACTTCGAGGTCTGGGCCGGGCACCTAGACACGTTGGTGCTGCGCAACAACAAGATCGTCCACATACCACCGCACACTTTCCGCAACACCCCGCGACTTCGGGAACTTAGCCTGTCGTTCAATAAAATCGTAGATGTCGACATAGACGCTTTCGTCGACCTCGCAGAGTGTCTTCAGAGTTTAGAGATCAGCTTCGGGCTCTTCCAGGAAGAGTTCCCTGATCTCTTCCTTAAACCACTCACCTCTCTCTTGTGGCTGGCGCTTGATAATAACAACTTCCACACCATCAACTCGCACTCGCTACGAACATTCTCTCTGTTGCAGTATTTGAACTTGGACTCGAACCGGATATCCGCTCTCCCGAGTGGACTGTTCCATCCGGGAGTCCACGGCAACCTGCGGGATATCCGTCTCGCTTACAACCTCCTCCAGACCGTCGACTCGGAGACCTTCAGCGGATTACCCTCGGTGGAAACGATAGTTCTGTCCGGAAACCGTATCCAGACGATCAGGACGGGTGCTTTCCGCAACTTGACCGTGCTCATGAACCTAGTGCTTTCCAACAACGCGATCGCGGTTCTACAATCGGAGTCGTTCGCGAACCTCCCGAATTTGCTTAAACTCGACTTGCAGAACAACGCCATCAAAGAGTTCTCGCTGTCCGCCTTCCGCAACGTGAGCAACCCGGTCGTCTCGATGAGCCTCAACGTCTCGCGCAACCAGATCTCCTTCCTGACGCACCAGAAAACCTCCGACCTCTCCGTCCACATCGGGACCCTCGACATGAGCTACAACGCCTTGATGTACGCGCCTGTCCAGTTCTTCGGCGCCCTCGCCAACTCCCTGCGGGTGATCCACCTGAGTCACAACAGCATCAGCGAGTTGGAATCATCAGGTTTCGTGGACCTGAAACATCTAGCCTCCCTGAGTCTCGATCGGAACCAGATCGCGAACGTTGCCAGCGATGCTTTTTTAGGACTCGATAAACTGCAGATTCTGGATCTCTCGCACAATAAAATCTCGAGGCTCCAGTCGTGTCAGTTCAAACTCCGTTCGTTACGCGTGTTGAGACTCAGCAACAACATGATAAGGTCGCTAGCTCGCGATACCTTCCAGGATTCCCAGTTGGAGGTGTTGGATATGTCTTATAACTCGATGGTGGCGCTACCTAGCGGGGCGTTGGCGGCCGTCGGTCTGACTCTTCGTCAGTTGGACATGTCGCACAACGCTATCGAGCACCTGGACATGAGCATGTTCTTGGATGTTCCGCTTTTGACTCGCTTGAATGTGGCGTTCAACCGGCTCACCATCCTGCCTGATAATGTTCTTGCCTCCGTGGGGAATCTCCTGGATTTGAACTTGGGCGGGAATTTGTTGAGGTCGAACTACAAGGAGCTTTTCCACTACGTGCGGAAGCTCAGGAAGCTGGACTTGTCTTCGACGGGGCTGAAGCAGGTGCCGCCCCTCCCATTGCCCGATTTGAAAGTGCTTTGTTTGTCGGATAACCTGATCAACAGCGTCCCCAGCTCGAACGTCGAGAACTTGCAACAACTCAGGTACCTGCATTTCGATAGGAATCAATTCGTCTCCGTTCCCTCGCACGTGTGGCCTGCCTTGCCCAGGCTCAAATTCCTCAACATCTCATCTAATCCCATCAAGGTGAGAAATTTGTATTTTACATAGAATATGAGGACTTATCTGTAACAATAGCGGATGTGAAAAATTAACTTTTCGAAACACATTCAAAAAACTGTTTTGGCATCGAGAAAATTTTGAGAAAATACTTTCGATGTGATCTTCGAGATCTGTACATTATGCCACAGCCAAACATATTAAATTTTTGTGTGAAGAAAACAGTTTTTTAAGCGTATTTCTAAAAGGTACTTTTTCACATCCGCCATTGTTACATTCAAGGCCTCATATGTACCAGCATGTTGGTAGCGAACCCAGGGTGGCATGAAATGTAAGAAAGAAATGAAAGATTGGAAATTCCAGTGAAATATTTTGAGACATTTCACGAGTCTGTGAAATATTTCATATTTTTCAGGGGCTAGAGTATGCAACCCGCACTCGAACACACAAAAATAGTAGAAAGTCATTTTTACATTGTGTGAAACATGAAAAGGAACCGGTATTTTTCAACATCAATATTTCACGTGAAATTTCAAGATTTTATTTTTCATGAAATTTTTCCTCCCTGGGTGCGGTATTTCAGAATTTTTCTCCCTCTTCTTTTGAAGAAAATAACTTAGTTGTCTCTCGGTTAAATAAAATTTGAGTAAAAATTTTGAAACCCCCACTGGAAAACAAAAATGCGAGGCTCAAGCATGATAAATGAAATTGCCGCCAAGATTTTTTTTTAAATCTTAATTTAGGCTGAATTTCTCCCTTTACAAAGAAAAAAAATCGGCCTAAGCGAAAAAATTCTTAAATTAAGCGATATCATTCTTGTTTCAAGAAAAAATATTTCTTGGTGGGAAATTTAAGATTTTTTCCGTGCAGTGGTCGGAAAATAAAGTACGTGGAAAATGATTAATTCATTTTTTTAGGGGAAAAAATGAGCTTAGGGTAAAGCGTGAAAAGGAATCGTTGCGGCGGATTTCATTGTTGAAGTTATCCTCTGAAAGATCCGTAGAAACAATAATTGATTTTAGAAAATTCAAGTCCAGAAAGCCCGGACGGAAGAAGTTATTCCCGGAGAGTTTTGTCTGTTTTCGCCGACGTTGGCCGACTAAAGCCGTGCTAAGGAAAAACGCCATATGAACCTTCAGGCGTTGCCAAATTTCCTTTAATAAAACACGAATTTCCTGGTAAACTTATTAATGCATTTCTCCCCATTTTTCAGATTATTTTGAACGCAATTTCACCTAAAGTTTATGAAAATATCAAGGAAAAATATTCATAACTTTCCTCAAAAATAAGCATTTTATCTTAGGAGATTTGGCAACTCTCGAATGACCATACGGCGTTTTTCCTTAGCACGGCAGAAATGGTAGAAATAAATTAGGAGATCAACGCCGACCACCCGGACGGATTTTTGACTTGAAAGCTGGTATCTGCCTACATAATTAATGGACGGAGCCATCTCATTAATTCGTCGGTCATTTAGTCGGGAGGTTTATTTATGTTGGCGGGCAAATAGTTCGATTGAAATGCACAACAAACGCCAAGAGCACGCTGATTGAGTGTTGGCCGTTTTGCGATGGATGCCCCCAATGCCCCCTCTGCCGCTCGTTCGTAGAGTGTAAATTTACATTTTCACCTCCTCTCAGCTATTAAGCTCAGTCATCGGTCAAATTAAAAAATATACCACTGAACCAACGGTAAACAAGATGGGTCAATAACATTTTTAAACTCACTTGCACGTAAAAGCACTAAACATTTCAACATTCTCCCCTTACAATCGACCATATTTTACTATATTTCCCAAAACCAATATACCACACGCATCAAAATTCAAAATTATCTCCCGAAATACAGCCAACCTTTGAACTAAAATAACCCAAAAGTGACTACCGTTATGTAACTTTTTAAGCAACAACATCTCAAAAGTTGATATGTTCTCCTGAGTTTAAACATTTTATTGATCATTTATCTTGTGCGGGTCTCCAAACGAATCCTGAAACAAGATGGGAACTCTATCGCAGCTGCGACGGATAGCGGCTTTGGGAATGGTTGCTGAGTTGACCGCGTTAGGTGGAAAGGAACCAAGCCACATCAGCTATTGCTAAATTTAATTGGACAATTCAATTTTCTACGTGAAAACGATTGTGCGGATTTTTGTGCAAATTTCAGCGAGTTTCCTGCCAAACACGAAGCAAATTCATTGAAACTTTAAAAAAAAATTCCGCACAAACGTTCTCTTGTAAAAAATTAAATTGCTCCGTTAAATTTGGCAATAGCTGATGTGGCTTGGTTCCTTTCTGCTTAACGCGGTCTAAGTATAAATTTGGGTGTGGAGATGGATAGGTAGTTTATTCAATACGACGATCAGCAAGTATGGCTATATTCACGTCAAAGTCTAGGAGAACATATCAACTTTAGAGATGTTGTTGCTTAAAAAGATTTATAACGGTAGTCACTTTTGGGTTATCGGAGTTCATTTCGGTAGATAATTTTGAATTTTGATGTATGCAGCATATTGGTTTTGGGCAACATAGTAAAATATGGTCGATTGTAAGAGGAGAATGTTGACAGAAAGAGCAAAGTGGAAGTGGAGATTTTGGAATTAAATGTGAATGAGGATTCTTCCATTTAAATCCATTAAAAATATCGATTTAAGGAGAACCAAGCTGCTGCACCAAGAATCGATTGTTTTTGTGCATTTGAAACGAAAAAAATGAGAATTGCCACTGGTGGTCCGTAGTTTGTCAAGTCGTCGCACAACAAGTGGATCGCATTTAGCAAAAAGGAACCAGCGCAATTGCAGTGTTTTCAAAACTATGCAGCTTCTCATTTTCTTTTAAAAATACTCAGTTTATGAACAGTATTAAAATTTACACAATTATTTTCCTTGAAAATTAACCATTTCTTGGTAGGGAGCCAAAACTATTCGATACTCTCGGAAGTTTTTAGATAATTATGAGGAAACAACATTTTTACAACACTGTGATCGCCCCGGTTCCGTTTTGCTAAATGCGATCCAATTTGCCCTACCAATCAGAAACAGAAATGAAGATTCATTTTGATCACGGATGACAAAACTTCCGATTCTTGCTCCTAGATTCCGAGTGTGACTGATCTGAATTCTGTTCCAGATTTTGAGTAAGGATAGCTTTTCGAGCTTACACAAATTAGAATCGCTCGATATCCAGGACCTGCCGCGCTTGGAACGATTCGACTCAGATGCCCTCGCCCGCAACTACGTCTTGCGGTCCATCAGCGTACAAACATGGCCTCACATCGAAAAATACAGGTATATTGCGATTTTTCACATTTCACCTTTGGTACAAATTTGAACTTCAAAGTGATCGGATGATATTTCCGGAAGAAATTTTTTTTTGCTCACGTATAAAAGAGCCAATCTGTGCAGAGAAATTAAGGGTACTCGTTTTGTCTGTGAAATGAGCCAAAGATGTCGAATTTCTTTCGTGAAATGATATTCAGTCGGTATTTACAGAAACACTAGGGTACTTGACCCTCACCCTTGGAAGCCGAAGACTTTTTTATACGCAAAGTCTCGAGTCGGGGTGTCACACAACAAAAACAATATAGAGATTGAGAAAGAAAAAGGATGCGCGTTGATGACGGCGCAGAAATACAACTATTCGTACTTGATGGATGTCTGTGTTGCGTCTGCAAAATTGAAGGCGCTATGGCGCGAGGCGTAAACTCGCAATGCTCCGCTCTTGGCTATTATGCCGCAAATAAGATGTTGCGTCGCCTCCAAAATGTTCGAAAGTCTCGTCTGTAAATTTTAATAGCAATGAGTCAATCAGTTTATTGATGTCAAATTTATGGATCTAATTGTGTAATTCCAAATTTTAATTAATCTAATTGTGTATTTCCACATTTCCAAATTTTTCAGGTTTCGATTGGGGCTCATTATTTCAAGTGTGCCCTCGCTCAGGTCTCTCTCGGTGAAAGTGTTAGAGGCTCATCTGAACGATCAGTTATTGGGGTCATCTCCGTCCTTCTTGACGGAACTAAAAATTACCGGGTCTTCCTTGAAGAAATTGGAACCAAGAGCCCTCAGTAAGTTTAGCTCAATTTTAAACACACATATTCAATCATTCAAGTATAAGAATTATTGAATCTTACGGAAATATCTAAAAGAATCCAATAAAGTATTATATTTTTCAGTTGATCATGAAAATCACAAGAGACTAATAATAATCATAAGAGACAACACTAAAAATCCAATGATTTTTTCACATTGAATATTTATGGAAGTTTGATGCTGATACGTATTAAGTTATTTTACAGCAAAGAATTTCCTGAAAATGGAATAAATCTTACAAAACCCATGTTTTCACTACTAAAAAATGCGCACGAAAAAAATTTTCTATTGCCTAAATATTCCTTGTTTTCCTATCCTAAATTCTTTTCGTCCACAACTTATTTTATTAATTCAATTTTTAACCAATTTCAGAAATTACCTCTGGCGAATAAGGGTGACATTAAATTAACTGCTCTTGTTGTTCCCGTCCCCGCAGTCACAGAATCTTCAGCCCTAAATCGTTTCTCGTAAAGAGACAATGAAAGTCTGAAGTACAAACTGTTTAAAGAACAATAAAAGCTACCTGTGCCAGGTAACGAGTTCAAACGAGGGAAAAAATATTTTGATGTGGGCGAACCAACAGATATTTGAAGACGTTGTGGACTTTCAGATTTAATGAGACTCTATGTTTATCCCACTTGAAGGCTATCTATTTCAGGAGTGGAAAGGAATTTGTATTTATTCTTTTACTGGAGCATCTACCTTTGAAGCAAGAATATTCAAGATTTTTCACGTCCCTTGTCACAATGTAAACCTTCCCCCAGAAAAGTTTGTCGGGAAAAGGACTCGCGTAGGAATCCGAGAAGGACTAATGTTTTATTTATAATTGTCCTTAAGCAAACTCTGTTAGCGATTAATATTTCGGGTGGTTGATCGTACGATTGTCTGCTTACTTTCCAGCTGGACTCGGTAGAAGTCGTGCGCTGACAATACGAATACACGAAACGCAGATCGAAGACTTGCCGCCAGGACTCTTCGCCTCCTTAGTACAAATTCCCGTCCTTTCCTTAGATTTAGTCAATAATCGGCTCAGCTCACTCAGTCCCGCCTCGCTCTACTCAAATGCGACGAGTTGGGAAAGCATCGGGACCAAACTGCTAACAGGTAATCTACTCTCTCGAGATTTTATTTTTATGTCTTCTCTACCGGTCGAGCAGGGTCGAATTGGGGTTGCAATTTTCCATGAAAAATAAAATCTTGAAATTTCGTGTGAAATGTCTCGTGAAATTTCAGAAAAATATTACAGGTATTGAAAAATATTTTTCGAAATTAAATGCTAAATTGAATCAGTGAGAACGAAAACACACCAACTCAGAAAAATGAAAATTTCAAGACACGTACAAAACTGCACAGTAGGTGAACAAGTTATTTTAAGGAAAATATTTTTGCTGCTGAAATACAAGTATTCATAGACACTTTAAAAGTCCAAGTTGGAACAGATACGCTAACTGCAATGATCTTTATGTAAATTAACTGTCTTTGATGGAAATTGAGCATTTTTGAGTTACCGAGTTGGTGTGTTTTCGTTCTCACTGATTTAATTCAATGAATGGCAAATCGCTTTTGATGTGTTTTAGTGCGTATTACATACCCAGCCCCTGAATTCATGGCTTTTGTACTTTTCAAAATTTTGTAAAATTTCATGAAATACTCCACGGAAATTTCCAATCTTTCATATTTTTCATTTCTTTTGTGCAACTCTACCCTGGGCCGGACTTACCATGCATAGCATGCAGAAAATAGCACTCCCGGCTGGATTGCTGAACACCAACACAACAGAAAAATTTAGTGCTCTTTTTTATGTGTTGAGAATAAAATTCGCCGATGTTTAATCATCCGAACGATCTCTAAGAGTTTTTCGGACGATTGGTGGCAATTCAACAGAGAACAAAGGCTTCTTTCCATATTATTTCCCGTTCAGCGGGCCGATTATTGAAATTGATAGACAAAGCTATAGACAAAGAATACATAGGGAGTATGAAGCTATCCTATTGGTTGAAATGGGTGGTTTCTTTAGACTAAAGGAGAAAATGATCGACTAACTATCGGGTCCCTCGTGGGTTGCCGTTACTTAGTCTATTCCCTACCTCCTTTGTCCATTGCAACCACCCGCCTTTATCAATAAGATCCCTCCATATCTCTTTCGTCTTCTTTGTCTAGCTTTGTCTATCAATTTCAATAATCGGCCCGCAGGGGTTACCGAGCCCACTTTCTCAAACTTCATTTTTGCTCTTACGACTCTTCGCTATCGAGGCAGTAATGGACAGACAAGGTGAGTAATAAAATTGGACGTATTTCTATCAAACGGAACTCAGCGCCCTAGGGTGAGGAAAGAAAAGGGGGGCTTGGATTGGCGGAATTGCGGAACGCGATGCTCGTTCCGTTCTATACTCGCAATGCTTTTCCAAGGCGCTTAGTTCCGTTTGACAGAACGCGCTATCCGGTATTCTAAAATCCTCAAAAGGAACTCAATTTGGCGCTTAGTTCCGTTTAACAGAAATACGTCCAACTAACCAAAGCCCGATAAACGATCAAATTCCGAACCAATTCCGATCAAAGTAGACATGCTGATGACTGATGGTCACCATCTACCATCAAATTTTGACGGGCCGCACTATTTTGTTCAAAGTAAGATCAGAATGGAGTGTCACCATTCATCATTTCCTGCCTCAGGAAACATTTCTGCCAAGTTTTCATTTTAAAATTAAGCAAATTAATGAGTTTAAGACTGATGACTCCCGACACTTTGATGGTAATTGGTTCGGGAATTTGATCGTCTATCGAGACCTCAACGGCAACCCAAAGTTAGTCCATCTTTCCCTCTGAGTCTGTGACAGCCACCCAACCAATAGGATCGCTCTATTTTCCCTCCGTCTTCTTTGTCTATCGCTTTGTCTACCAAGTTAAATAATCAGCCCTTCGAAGGAGGTATGACTCGTTCATCGACGCGGGAAACACCGTGCGAGACAGGAATCCAAAGACAGGTGTATTAAAAGCTTTAATTGACTCGACAGGCGCGACGGAGCATCAATTATTCAAGGGTGTGTGTGGAGCTGCAATCCCATGCAACTACCTCGAGTAGAAAAACCGCGCATGGACGTTGGTTTTTCGTTTGAGTTGTGCGGTTCTGAATCGGCACGGCAGAAATGCCGTCGCAGCGAGAATAGCGTTTGCTCAAAACTGTTTAAAGATATCCGAACGCTGATATAGGAGGTATCCGTGCGCGGTGCTAACAGCGCCGAATTGCCGGGCGTATGATTGTGTTGAGTGTGGCTTATGAAAGCGGTGCATTATTCATCCTCATGCGAGCCGCGCCGTTGTCAGATCGGTTACATGGGGAGAAAAGGATTAAAAATTGATTTTTTTCCTAATTTGCCTCAAAATTTTGTTTAAAATTTTTCCGATTTTTTTCTTCTTTTTTAGTGAAAGAAATTCTCTTTCACTTTATGAAGTTTTTTTTCTCTCCTTTTTTAGGTTTCAGGACATTAAGTCAACGCTTTTTTGTCCGCGCACCTGTTTTGTCTTGTAGTTTACGTCCACACGTAAAAGAGGCAATAGAGAAAAATATAAATGCTTGGGAGATCATTAAGTTTGACACGGAAGCACCTTAATATTTACAAATCACACATTATATTTTCCTTTAATACATATACATTTAAATAAGAATAATTCATGTAGAATGTGCTCACATTTCAAAATCATGAGTCGAAAACCGCTGACTTCGCGAGTTTAAATATTAGAGCCAAAATAAAGAGTGGAGCGTCGCGCGGCGTGCTGTCAGCGCGACACGCGCACTGGCGCCTACAAACTTAACAGGAATACTTCACGCATTGCGCAATGCGTGAAGTATCCCTGTTAGATTCGTAGGCGCCAATGCCCGTGTCGCGCCGGTCGCCCTCGCCCACCGCGCCACACCGCTTGCTTCAAGCAACTATTTCGCAACAGAGGTGTTGCACAGTATCACACAAAATTGAAGGTCCTCCAAAGCTCTAAAAGGACTTTTAGAGCTATTCTACAGATCTTAAAGATGATGACTCACAATATCCGAAACGACCTTAAGATCTTGTGAAGATAAGAAATGTTTTCCAGGTTATCCGAACGAAATACCCTGAGAATACCTTTGAACCAACAAAAAAAATTCCTTGAATTATTAGTGAAAATCTGCAACGTCACAAATCGCAATGCAGGTTTTTGTAGTTCTATCATCTAATATCAACATGTTGGTTGTAATCTCCAATAATTCGATCAAAAATGACTGCACACGAACTTTAAAGAAACAGTCGCTTTTGAGCCGGAACGAGTGAGAGCGAGAGGAATTTCCTGCAATAGTATGAAATAAAAAGTTCCTTCAATTTTGTGGCTATGCAATTTTAGTCACGTAGGAGTTAGAATAGTCGCATCAGGCATTTGATTATTTTCCCGCACGACGCTCGACTAATAAAGGACCCTGGTAAAAATTGGCGATAGGAGTTGCGTTTCAAAATACCATGGGAGTTCTTATAGCCGACTGAAGAAGGCGATAGGAAATCATATAGCTGGCTGTAGAAAGTGGAAAAAATTATACGGCCGGGCTACACGAAGCGATAAAAAATTATACAGCCGGGCTATAGTTCCTATCGCCGGGCTTTACACTTTATCGCCTGGCTATTGCTTTTTCGCCATCGGCTATAAAAGGCTATAAGACATTCTGTAGAAATGCGTGTGCTTTGGAAATCCTTAAGTTTGTACGGAATCACCTTAATATTTACAAAACGCACATTATATTTTCCTTTACTACATATTTTTTTTTTCATCAATGAAAATGAGAATAATCCATACAGAGGGTGCAAACATTTCAAAGTCATGAGTTGAAAAACGCTGACTCCACGAGATTAGGTAAATATTAGAGCCCAACACAAAGCGTAGCGGCGCGGCGGCGCACTGGCGCCTTCAAACCTAACAGGGATACTTCACGCATTGCGCAATGCGTGAAGTATCCCTGTTAGGTTTGAAGGCGCCAATGCGCGATTCGCGCTGGCTGCCCGTGGATTTACCCTCACCTCATCTCTCAATAATTATTTAAATTATATTCAATTGACATGGGTGTTTGGAAAATGCTCTCATGACGAAGTAGGCCTGCTGCAAACTTCGGCTACAAAAAAATACAATTAAAAATGGGACTTCAAAGAGCACTGATGAATAAAATGTAGGGTAGAGATAAATTATTAAAAATTTAAAAAAATTTAGATTTTTAAAGAAAGTGCAACTGAAAAAATGTAAAAACGGAAGTTCACTTTATGATTTTCACGTCAATATTCAGTCTGAATATACGATATCTCTAAAATCCTAATCTACAGGGAGTTCGAAGTCATAAGTCTTACAGAGATGCAAAGATTTCCTCTCCATCCTATTTTTCAAATCGACCTTCTTATTTTAAAATCCTCTTTCCTAAACTTTTTCAAGTAATAAATACTATCTTCTTTTCTTGTCATGCTCTCTGGCTTAACATTGCCATGGTTCACCCTAAGCCACGCAAATGTATGCCATTTTCACCGCAATTTTCCGCAAAACACGCAAATTTCGGCACCCCTAAATCTTGGACTTAAATTAAGAAAAGTTAATTTCAGCTCGAATTGAAAAATATCCGGATACACCTTTCGATTAGAATACATATTAAAAGGTATTTACCTCTCCAGTGATATCTCAGCATGCATAAAACTGATTTTACATTATGATAGTATGTCACGAGATACTTCTCTCCGATACAAAATGACACTCATAACTCTAATTCCGAGCATGTCGTCATCCCCTTCCCGAATTTCGCTTGAGGTATTCGAAATCGTTCGGCCATTGATAACATCGGATACTTTCATAAATCTTGAGTCGGACATACGCGTGCGTAAGGGAGGGGGGGGATGAAGGCGGCAGCGTATGTCTGGCTACAGATTGGCTTCAGACGGAAAGGGTGTTGGACGCCAAAACGGGTCGAAATGAAGTGAGCAAATGAAAAAAAGGGAAGAAAAACGAGCAGAAAAATACAGTTTATAGGGAGAGATAATATTGAAAGCTGTTAAGATCGGGACACTCGGATATTGGAGACCGCGGTGGCAAAAAATATCGTGTGC